CGGACCCCCGACGCGCTCAGGAAATGCGAGCCCTCTCTGGGGCAACCTGGGGGGCCCGGGTCGCAGTGGGGTCGCTGCCGCCAGCCCCAGGCCTGGCCGCGCGCGGTCCTGGTACTGGTACGGACAGGAGTGTGACGAGTGCGACTAGAGTGCAGCCCGGCCGGAGCTCGCTCAGGGGCCTTGCGGGCAGGCGGGCGGGCGGCCGAGTGCGGGGCTGCGCGCGAGGCTACGTGCGCTTGGGGGTGGCTGCATGCGGGGGTGCGTGCCAGGGGCTGCGTGCGGTTGGCGGGGGGAGCTGCGTGCGTGGGTGGCGCGTGCGGAGCGCGGAATGGCCGCCAGGTGGCAGGCGAGAGCCACAGCCGGGAGCAGGACGTGAACTACGGGCCGAGGAGGGCGGGAGGGGCGCGCGGGAGTCCAGACGGATGCGAGGAGGGGCTTTTGCAAAGTCCCTGAGGCCCGACGGTGGAGGGAGAGCGGGGCCACCAGTTGAGTCTAGGATGTATTTTAGTTCATCCTGGAGGAGGGAGTGCACCCCGGGGCCCTGCGGGGTATCCTTGGTTTCCTGGGGTGCTCAGTACACCCCTACTCTGGCTGGGATCCCCGGGGCGCCCTCCTGGGAGGAGCCTGGTCGTCGCAGCCCGGGTCTGCGGCTGTTCTGCGAAGTTCGCCCTGGGAGTTTGCAGACTCCCAGGTTCCAGGAGTCCGGGGCCTGCAGGTGCGAGAGCTGGTGTCGCCATGGGCACAAAGGGGCGCCGGGCAGGGTTGCAGCTGGTGCAGGGGCCCCCAGTGCCGCGCCAGGCAAGTGTTTCCCCTCCCTGGGGACTGGCCAGGCTGCCGTGCGAGGTCAGAGGTCACCCCGCCCCCAGGTCTGCTCCTGGAATGAGGACAGACCAGTAATGTCACAGCAGTACAAAAGCCACACTTCAGGGGCTCCAGACCACCCGCCGAGCTGACCTGCGGGGGCGGGCGCCTGTTCCCAAGTCAGGGTGGCTGCAAGGAGCAGGGGCTGGGAGGGAAACTGAGGCACAGGGGACCCCAGGTGCAAGCCTCACGGCCCGGTTCCCTACGTCGACGGGTCCCCACCTGTGTGCAGGCACGGGCACAGAGCCAGGCCATCTGCCCCCGTGGCCCTCCTCTGGCAGCCCCTTTCACTGAGCTGAGGGTGGGGGGAGGCTCACGGCCATGGTGACTCAGGCCCTGGCCCTGGGAGGCCACTCTCAGTGCCGCCCCTGCCGGCTCATCCTGGGCTCCCAGGGCCCCGCCAATCAGAGGTGGTTCTGAGTCCCCCCCTCCCCCCAGCCTCCCTGGGCCTCCTAACAAGCCCAGGGCAGGCCTGTGGCCCAGGGCAGCTCCTCCCCAGTCCCCAGAGGCTGTGTGACCTCAGGGCCTCACAGGTCCCTCTCTGGGACTGGGGAAGGAAGAGGCAGGGCCAGGAGATGCAGTTCCCTGGGAGGTGGTGGTGTGATCCACCCAGGTGTGGCCCAGCCCAGGGGTGGCCCAGCCCAGGGGTGGCACCTGACCTGCCCAGGGGTGGCCCAGCCCAGGGGTGGCACCTGACCCGCCCAGGTGTGGCCCAGCCCAGGGGTGACAGCTGACCCACCCAGGTGTGGCCCAGCCCAGGTGTGGCACCTGACCAGCCCAGGGGTGGCACCTGACCTGTGCAGGTGTGGGCCAGCCCAGGTGTGGCACCTGACCTGCCCAGGTGTGGCTCCTGACCTGCCCAGGGGTGGTACCTGACCTGCCCAGGTGTGGGCCAGCCCAGGGGTGGCACCTGACCTGCCCAGGGGGGGGCCCTGCCCCGGCGTGCCCCTCGACCTGCCCAGGTGTGGCCCAGCCCAGGGGTGGCACCTGACCTGCCCAGGGGTGGTACCTGACCCACCCAGGTGTGGCCCAGCCCAGGGGTGACAGCTGACCCGCCCAGGTGTGGCCCAGCCAATGGGTGGCACCTGACCTGCCCAGGTGTGGCTCAGCCCAGGGGTGACAGCTGACCTGCCCAGGTGTGGCTCAGCCCAGGGGTGGCACCTGACCTGCCCAGGTGTGGCCCAGCCCAGGGGTGGCACCTGACCTGCCCAGGTGTGGCTCAGCCCAGGGGTGACAGCTGACCTGCCCAGGTGTGGCCCAGCCCAGGGGTGCCACCTGACCTGCCCAGGTGTGACAGTGGCCTTTCTGGAGGAGGGGAAACCGCTGTCTTAGCGGGGCAGGACCCAACCAGCGGGGACAGGTGGGGAGTAACTGGGTCTCCACCCAACACAGCCCTGGCCGGAGCGGAGGCCAAGCCCCGGGCCTTGGCCACTGTCTGCTTCCGGGTCTGGGTGAGAAGGCCGTCTTGGTCTTGGCTGTCCTGTGTGGGGAGCCGTAGGGTACTGAAGCCCTGGAGGCCTCGACTGATTTCCAGGAGGCTTCTGGGCTTGTGCAGGTGACAGCTCGAGGCTGGGAGGAGGTGGCCGGGCGGGGGATGCCTCACAGTGGTGGAGGCTCCCGCCAGGCTGTCGCCTGTGCTCAGCTGTGAGCTGGGTGGGGACTGTGCCTGTGGCCTGCAGGGCAGGGGGCACGGGCCTTGTGAGTGCAGGAGTCCATGCAGAGTCCGGCCGTGACACCCCAGGCAGCCCCGGGCACCACCCCGTGTCCCCGGACCAGGCCTAGGCAGCGGTGGCGGGCAGGCCGGCGGGCGGCGGAGGTACAGAGCGACAGGAGGCGGTCTGTCCGTCAGAAGTGTCCGTCTGGTTTAATAGCTCATCAGCTCCACGGGTTACAATTGTCTTAAATATTTCTGAGGTTTAAATACAATCTGCATAATAATGTTATAAAATGTAAACTTTCAGTGTTCTTTTACATTTCAAAATCACACTTTTTTTTGGTCTTTTTATCTTTTTTTTTTCCTTTAATACCTGAATGTTTTGCAAAAACTGAAATTGTTACAGGCCGCCCTGCTGGGCAGCCAGAGGTAGAGTTTTTACCTTTTTACGTTTTCCCTTTTACCTGAGTCGAGGCGGCCCCCACGCCATCCCACAATCCCCAGAGTCTGAACTTTCACGTGTCGAGAAGGCTGAACTCGCGTTTGCCAAGAAAAAAACACGGAGTAAAAAGGGGGGGGTAGATGAAAGGGGGAAACAGCGAGGGTGGACAGCCCGCCGCCCAGCAACCGGAGGCCAGCGCTAGGGCCACCGAAGAGTCCCCAAGTGGTCTGGCCACAGCCGCTCCCCCAGCGGGAAGCTGCGTGAGTCTGGGGGTCTGCCCGGCTGCCCTTCCCACCCGCTGGGTGCCCCAAAAACCGCCGTCTCGGAGCCCCAGGGCAGGCGGTGAGGAGAGCCCGGTCACCCTGCAGGCCCCCATCCCGTCCTGCGGTCATCCCCTGAGTTGGAGCCCAGCCCCACGGCGCCCGGAGGCTGGACGCTGGCAGACAGGACACGTGTCCCCGCTGGACAGGAGGGGCGCCACGCCCAGGCCGCGGGGCTGCGGGCAGGCGTGTCCTGTACCTACACCCGCCCTGCCCTGCATGGAGGCGGGACGCAGGGAGACCCGAGCCGGCCCTGCAGCTGGGGCTGCACCGGGGTGATTGTGCCGCGCCCGCCCTGCCTGGAAGGGCCCCAGGAACCCTGAGACACGAAGTGGGGCCCTCCCATGGTGGGCTGAAACCCCGCTCCAAGGCGACAGCCCGCGGGGACCGCAGAGGCGCTGCGCCCTCGTTAAGCCGGGCTCCTGGGCCCAATTAGAGCCGGACCCCTGAGAATGCAGACCCGCCCGCCGGCCGCGATGGGGAGAAGCAGCGCCTGCACCCCAGGGGCCCCAGCGGTGGGAGGGGCGGGGCCTCCTTCCTCGCCCTGAAAAGCCGCCCAGAGCAGGCGGGGCCAGGGGCCAGTCCCTGCTGGGCCCCTCCTGCGAGTCCCACGG